GGGATTTAAAAGTTGTGAAAAATTGTATCATTGGGATTTCTGGCGAAAGTTGACATCAAACAAAAAATTATCCAATACAAAAGTTGTAGATCATGCAAAAATGTACAACTTTTGTAGAGGTCACTTTTTAAGATAACCTTTAAAATGACTTTAGATTTTGTCATAAAAATAACAGCGACGTATTTAAAAAAATTAACCTGATGATGACCCCTTGAAGACGCAACGTCGGATTGCAAAAATGTTGACGCCATTGGATATAGCGGAGAAAGTGGCAATATGCAATTTATTTTAAAATTCGTTTTCAAATAAAGCCAAAAAAAAAATTAAAACGATTTTACGAAATTTCGGGTTTTTCCGGATATCTCCGGAACTACCCGGAATTTTAAAACTTTCTAAACGGCATATTATTAGGTGTAAAAAACACACAACTTTTTTATAATTTGAGCCACTCCGTATCTCTTACTGTTTCCTAGATCCTAATGCTATCCCATCCTTATCTTGGACACACTGTATATCTATAAATACATCAAAATTAAAAAAAAATAATCGATCCTACGGGAAAAAAATATTATTTATTTTATTTATTCACTATTCGACTTAGATGTTTATAGCAATACTGTACAAAAATAAAGTTTTGGGTCAAACAATGAGACACAGTTTTTTTTGTATTTTTTTCCGTAGAATTGAATGGTGTAATCAGTTTTTGATTTTCTTTTTAATTTAAATTATCAACAATTACTGAAAAATTCATTGTTGCAAGTCATTTTTTATTTTTTTTGCATTTGTGAGCTGATTTTTTATTTCACCAAAAAGTATACGTCAAAACGAAAATTGATCACGGCAGAACTCTGTACGATGATTTTCCTAAGTAGAATTTTTCTTTGAAGAAAAAGTGTTTCAGACCGGAAAAAATGAATATCTTGGAAACTTGAGTTTTTATCCAAAAAAAATGTGGTTATTTAAGACACAGAAAGGTATACTTTCACCAAGTTTCGTCAAAATTAAGTTATTTTTGCAGAAATGAGAAATAAAAACAAAAAATCTGAAGAAAAAAGTGACATCTACAAAAGTTGTAGATTTTTGCATGATCTACAACTTTTATTTGACGTCGACTTTCGCCAGAAATCCCAATGATACAATATTTCTCAACTTTTCAACCCCCCCAAATCAACCTTCCGCCGTCCCTGCTCACGCATTTATTTTTTTAGATTTATTATAAGCCCTTTTACCATTTCCATTTATAAAAGTCCAGGTAACAATTTTTTTTTCTCCAAGTGTAATTTGGTTGGACTATTTTGCAAAAAGGCAGCAAAAATTTGGAAATTTTTCTGCTCCCTTAATATTCTCGCTGAGTTTAGTAACATTGTAGTTATTGTATTTTGCTGCACCAATAAACCAGTCTTTATGTCCCTAACGCTGGTTCGACATAAGTTTTAATGATCATATTCTCCTCACAAACAAGTTAACTACTGAAAAGTTGCGAAATTTAAACCACACATCTTAACAACAAGCACCGCACAAAAATAGGGTATCCAAAGTTTCAAGTTATAACAGATATAGAAACTTTGGGAGCTTCTGGCAGTAAAATAATGAAATATTTGGTACAGCGGTTTCGTATTCTACTTCTGGGAGTTCGCAATTGATATGTATGAGCTTCGAATACTTCAGGTGTATCGTAACTTTCCTGTTTTGCAGTTCACATAATACGCCACATAGGAAACAATATAACTGTATTTGCTCTTTTCTATTGAGATATTTCATATAATACTATAGTCAAATCAAAGGAAAATCGTATGTGAAATTAATTAGAAATTTACATTTTTCACGTGAACTGATAGAGGGCGACCTTATATTATACACGGTAGTAATGAACTTTTCGGCAAAATCCAAAAACAAGTCAAATTTGTTTCTGAGGGGGACAACTTTTGGCTCAAAAAGCATACCAAAATCTTCAACCCCCTAAGTGGGGGTGCCATCCCCCAAATTTTTTTAAATGGGAATGGGGGTCAAGTGGGGGGTCATTAGAAAGGGCTTTTAATTCTCTATACATCGATTCTTACTTTTTGAAAATCGATTCATTATTTTAGAAAATATGCAGCTTTGAAAATACGAACAATATTTTTGACGAGAAATGCGAAAATCGATTTAATTTTACTTCAAAACTTACGGTATTAGCCAAGTAAATGCTGAAAATGTTGTCCGCCAACTTGCATACAATGATACAGGTTGTCTTCAAACCGTTGTCGAACATTCTGGAGCACTTGCGGTGTTACTTCGCGACATACATTAATGATTCGTCCTCGCAGATCTTCCAAGGTATCAGGTGGAGTGCTGTAAACTTTGCTTTTAATGTGCCCCCAGAGAAAGAAATCTAAAGGATTTAAGTCGGGTGACCGAGGGGGCCACTCAATTGCACCTCTTCGTCCTATCCAGCGTCCTGGAAACGTCTCATTTAGGTAATTGCGCACATTGAGCGAGTAATGTGGAGGAGCTCCGTCTTGCTGGAAAATCAGTTCGTGTTCATTGTAAGCAGGGTCGTCCTCTATGATATTTGTTAGAGCTGGGTCGATGACATTTTGTAGTAAATCCAAGTACATATCGCCTGTCAAATTTCCAGGAAGGAAAAAAGGACCTACAATGGAATTTCCAAAAATACCTGCCCATACATTCAACTTCTGGGGGTGTTGGGAGTGTGTCTCATGGAAAATCCTTGGATTGGTATCAGCCCAGTAACGACAATTATGGCGATTCACTAAACCATTCAAGAAGAACGTACACTCGTCCGAAAAACACACATTAAAGAGGAAATTATCGTTTATCGCTCGTTCAGTCATTATTTCGCAAAATTGCAAACGACGATCAAAATCGTCTTCATTTAGCTCTTGCACTAGCCGAATCTTATAAGGATGGAATTTGTATTTTTTTAATATTCGTTGGACACTTGTACGACTCACTCCTGTCGCAGTAGCCAATTGCATTGTACTCAGCGTACTATCCATTGCCACTTGCCCCAATACCGCTATTTCCGTAGGTTCATTTAGTACCGGATTTTCAACCTGCCTCTTTTTGTTATGAACGGAGCCAGTTTCGCGAAATTTGGCCACCAATTCGCGAACAATTTTTCCAGACGCATGTTTCTCAGGATGCCGTTGGTTGAACAGTTCGGCGACCCGATTTCCGCATTCATTGTTTTTGAAAAAAAGCTCAATAATTTCTACTCTTTCTGGAATTGAGTACACCATAATTAATCAATTTAAAAGACTCGGCAGTATTGGTACTCTTCAACTACAAGTCACAAGACAGTTATCTAGCAACTTCTTGTGGCCTATCTAAATACGAAACAAAAAGCGGACAATTTTTTGCTCACCAAAATCAGGCTAAAGAATTCGCAAATCAGAAAAAAAAAAGCGAATTCTTTTGAAGGAATTTACCAAGCTAATACCGTAAGTTTTGAAGTAAAATTAAATCGATTTTCGCATTTCTCGTCAAAAATATTGTTCGTATTTTCAAAGCTGCATATTTTCTAAAATAATGGATCGATTTTCAAAAAGTAAGAATCGATGTATAGAGAATTAAAAGCCCTTTCTAATGACCCCCCACTTGACCCCCATTCCCATTTGAAAAAATTTAGGGGATAGCACCCCCACTTAGG